AGAGTCTGACTACTCTAGGAGGGCCCTATTTCCTTGTCCCTGGGGTAAAGGAATCGATATTTCCCAGTACACCAGAGACCTATTTTATGCCACATGATGCTCTGAGCCTATCAGCCCCATGGCCTGTGTGGTGTTCTTTATGTGTCTTTTGAGAAGATTTGCTCACAGTAGCCAGGGTGCAGCAGGGTCCAATATAAGAGTAGAACATTCCCTATTTATATTTCTCATGATATCAAACACTCTAGTGGCTCTTTTGTCCAACAGATAACAGAAGCTTTTGGACCAGCACCTTTGGGGAGTCATTCACGATTAGTGCCAGATAAGAATGCACTGTGGAGACCAGCCATGCAATAGAACTTTCTGCATTGTCCATAACAGTAGCCCTGAGGTTACTGAGCACTGGAACTGTGGTTTTGTGGCTAAGGAGCTCAATGTTTATTTATTTTTTTTTTTAAAAAACACAATCCTACAGATTTATTTATTTATTGCAGTTTTTGGCTGGGGGCTGGGTTTGAACCTGCCACCTCCAGCATATGGGGCTAGCGCCCTACTCCTTTGAGCCACAGGCGCCGCCCAGAGCTCAATGTTTACTTTTATTTCATTTTAATTAATTTAAATAGTTGCATGTGGCAAGCTGCTATTTTATTGAATAGTGCAAGTATAGAACCAAAGCAAGAATGTGAAGGCTTAAAATCACTTGATTTTAATTATAAGAATTTCTTTAGGTTCATTCCTCTCAATTTACCTGAAAAAGTTGGTTATAACACACAGTCCTGGAGATTTTGTGTACCTAGTCTAGGTCACCTTATAAAGATGCTAAATGAGATTCTCCTATAAGTTCCTCAGAACTCTGTTCTTTATACTCTCCCAACCAGACATCCCATCTCTGTAGCTATTGGTTTCTTTTTGCTAGGCCCATTTATTTTTCATGACAAAATAGCCCTCAAGCTTTATCCCCAATTTCTCTACTTCTATCTCATCCCCCTGTAACACATTGTAGCCTTTGGTTTGAAATTTTTTTAGATGCTTCTGAAAAATTAAAAAGAATCACATTCACAGGTTCCCAGGCCTACTTATTGAAAATACGTATATAGCTTGGACATGATTTCCCCACTTAGCAATGGCTGTGCTCTGTCCTTGGCCATTTCTGTTTGCTGTGCTTCCTGAACAATGCTGCCCTTCACCATGAACCCCACTTCCTTGGGAAGTAAAGAAGGGTGTATTGGCTGTAACTCCTTGGGCCCCCCTGGAGTTCTGTTTCTGTGCCAGTGACAGGAATCATTTGCAGTCCTCCTTGTCACTGGCACACCAACCATCTCTAATACAAGATCCATCTTTGCTAACAGGTGCATGGTTTTGATTCTGGAGATTCTCAGATAAGTGCCACACTTAACTGGGCTCAGAACATTTGCCTGAACACATCCTGAGATAGAGCACTGTCTGCTCCAGCCTCTCTGATTTTCCCGTGTCAGAGCCCACTTTAGGACTGGGAACCTCCTCCACATCCTCTCTAGGAGAGCTAGCAAGACTGTCACTTGTCAGGCCCTCAACTCAGTAGGAAGCAGTATAATGTAGCCGTTAATTAATGGCTTCTGGAGCTAGCAGCCAAGAGTATAGATTCCATTTCTCTCCCCTCCCACCATATGGCTTTGGGCAAGTTATGCCCCCCATCAAATGAGGGTAATAATAGTCCATCTTCCATAGGGTCCTTATAAGGATAAGGCAAGTTGGTTTGCATAAAGCATTTATTTACAGCAGCGCTTGCAACAAAGTAAGTGCTATGTAAGTATGAGCCATTTTTATTACCATAAGCAGAACTTTCTTCATTGGTTTATTTGACAAGCTTCTGGCAAACTTCTTTCTCTTAGGAAATCACTCAGCAGGCCCTGTCTACAGCCTTCTTTGGCTGCTGCGTTTCCAGCTTTCCCCAAATCTGTCTGACAGTCCAGCCTCCTCTTTTGGCCTCACTGCTTCCAATTAGGTCGCAGGAGGATTTTTTTTTTTTTTTATCTCCGGGAATCTTGTTTATTTTGCATTCTGGTGCAGAATTCTCTTCCGTTCCAATAATATACTTTAAAAGTTTTAGATTGATAAATGTCTATTTTTACACTCTCAGAATGTTCTACATTCTAGAACAGTGTTTTTCAACCTTTTTCTTTCATCTCAAAATACATTTGAACCTATAGTTAAACTTCCATGGCACACTTAAATTATGTTGATCAACAAAAAAAGACTGAGAAAAAAAAGAATATACTTACTGTGCTTTGAAAATAATTTAATTGGCTCGGCGCCTATAGCTCAACCGGCTAAGGCGCCAGCCATGTACATCTAAGGTGGCAGGTTCGAATC